TATACATACTTATTATATATATAATTTTATATACACACATATATATATATATATTGATATATATATATATCAGTACTTTCCATACTGTCTTATTGCGGGCTTTGTTTGATATAGTGGAAAGAGTTGACACTTGCATATGTGTCATTATATAGGAGTATTTATATGTATATCATTCCTGCACTATATCCTATATTGCGGTAAGTAGAAAATCTGACCTCACATGCCCACACGTACGCTCGCACAATTTTACATACACGCACACGAACACACATACTAGCACACACAGATGCTATCACAAACCACACGGATATATGCGGACACACACCTCAAAGTTTATAAGCTAAGTCTGTCGTTATGTCGACTTTCATTCCGGCACATCAATGTGTATTTCTGTATTTGGGCAATTGCAAATCTTTATTGATGATTTGTAGCAATATTTTCTCCGACTGTGGCAAATGGTCCCTGAGTGTAGGGCCTACATCGCTTGTTTACCCGAAGGTTTACTCACACCCTTGTTTCTATGAGTTTGTGACTGATTCTGTCTTTCATCATTGCTTTAATTTCTTGTTGATAATATCTGCTCAATACTCGCAATTTTCTTCGGTTGTGCCAAATAGCCCATTACTATCAGCCATGCCTGATGTCATTCGATGTCTTCCGTTTCATAAACATATGCATGCTTTGTGCAGTTGTGTATAGAGTCACACAATCAATACAACTCCGTCGTCAATTAAGCCGTCGATATCTTTTGTTGATACCACTAGCACTCCCTGCATAGATACGGAGGAGAGCACAACCACAGGGGATCACGCACCTCCTAACGGCGCTGAGATTGACGATCCTATGACGATGGAAGATGTGCACCATGGCGCCGGTCAAATACAGGTAGTCGATTTCATTCAGTAATATTGAGACTAGGGCAACTTGCTGTGGTTGCGTCATAATACCCGTCGAAAGTTTACAGTGCTCATCGATTAGCGCGAGTGATGTCAAAGATTTAATACATGCTTTCAATGCAGATAAAGTCTCCGGCATATTCTTTAATAAATTCAGCTTAGGTATTGTTTCTGAGCGTCTGTGTTGCTGGAGAAGATTGGCAAACGAATATCTGCAACCGCGAGAAAATTTAATCACTGATCTCCAAAGCATGTTTGCCACATTCCAAGTTGAGAGAATCACTGCACATCTGCTCGTATGGTGATACCAGACTACGACAGGGCTTTTCAAATGGGCCCTCGTTGACAGTGTGGGACATTGAAAATTGTCCAATTGCCGAGTTTCGCATCCCACATGGGCACTTCATATTTCATTGCTCGACCACGCATATAAATCTGCGCAGATCTATGTTACATCTATGTCGAGTACCGAGCCAACGAATCGATTCGACACATGCAAGGTTTCTGGGCAAGCATCAAGTTGTCTCTTTTCCTCACGGATGCGCCCGTATCAACTACAACAGAACAGGAACGCTTTTGATTCTATATGCAGGCGTTGCTGATCCCAGTGTCCATTTGCATGATGCTGGTGGTGATAACAGTCAGGTCGATAACATACTTTGCCACCAATCCCGAGAAGCAGTACATTGCTTATGCGAGTATATTCAAGGAAGACGACGGACAGACCAACTATCAGAATGCAATGAGGTATGTTATATATATTTTTTGCTATGCACGGATGCGGGATTAAGGAGAGGGTTGATTGTATTTATGAAAATTCTTATTTTGCGTGTGTGATGAGGTGAACGTGCCGATTGCAGCCGATGGCGCGTGCAATAGATAGGGGTGAATATAACTTTGCTGTAAAATTAGACGATGCAAATAGGTCGTGTTGTGTGTTTGAGCAAGTTAGGGTGTACAAGTAAAATTATTGTGGACGGGACGTGGTCGGGACGGGTGATGGGTAGTCGTAATCGTGCGGGCGTTTGCTGGTCTCTTCACTCTGTATGCTACACAATCTAGCACAAGTGTAGTACCCTGAACATGCCACGTAGTGGTTATCTCCGATGTTGTCTGTTGAGCCTATAAGGGCTACAGCGGATGTTTGGATATAGCCATCCACTACGGGATTTGTTCGGATTCACCACAGTCTAAGCGCAATGGGTGGCAGTTACTTAAGCCCTTGCAGGTTGCTGGTTGAGATAGCCTCCGGACATGTATATCCACCGCGACAGGAAGTTATAGTCTAGTTATGTAGTTATCTACTGCAAATTATGGAGCCGATAATGTATTAACGGAGAGGCAGAAAAGGATGTCATGTACTATACACGGTACGATGAATAAAGCATTACATGGCATTTATATGGAGGTGCACTGTAGTGTTTGCGCTAGAGAAATGTTCATGCAGCAAGCTACAGGGAGTAGTCGATAAATCGGTTGTAACTTTAGTTTTGAGCTATAAATTTGGTACTCTTTGCAAATATATCTACGCGTACAAGCTTGCATACAATTTCAAGCGATCAGAATTCTCAAACACGACAATTGTTCACGCAGCGCCGTCGGAAATGCTTTGATGCTGCTTGTGGTGGTCGTCACCATGACACTTGGACTGGTGCTGCTGTTCAAGTATAACTGCTACAGAGCTATAAAGTGAGTTTGAGATAATATTTTTTACATACAAAGGGCGAGTTTGCTAGTCTTTATTGCCGGGTTGCATGTGCAAGAGTATAATTGCTACCGACTTCTCAAATGGGTGCGCGAAAAATTTGCCGATTTATACTGTTGAGAGGCGGAATTGTTGCACAACCACAAAGTGCACCATTGTTACCGCAGGGAACCTCTCACTTGCTTCTTTTGAATTGTATGTGGGAGATTGTTGGATATGATATGCGAGTATAATGGGCTACTCAGTCACAGCAACCACAAAATTAGGTACTTCTACACATCTATATATACAATAGTTTACATTATCATACACGAAGAAATAGTTATATATATATAGGATATGGGATATTACGGAGGCACTCACAGCGCATTTGATGTACAGCCCTCCCGTAGAACAATTGACCATGTTGCAGTCTATCATAAACAACGCGATATTGTCACTTTTTTCCTGCCTGATTCCCTCAACCTACACAAGCTTTTATGTTTCGGACCTCAGATTACACATACACTTTTGACTTATTGGCACATTCTGTTTGTCATTTTCACGTATGAATCGCTTCCAGAGGGTGGCTTATATTCTCGTCCCAAATGCTCCTCATGACGTTTGGTTTTGTGTATCTACAACAAGTCCTTCTCGCCGTCAATTATCCCGTGGATTGGATCACTGTTGCTTTCTTCATCTGGTATGTATATCGTCTGTCGAGTTACTGATTACAGGACTGATCTTTTGGATATGGTAAAGATAAATACAATGTAATTTTAGGTCAAGCACTACTCTCATCGACTGAGCGCGATTCATGATGAATTTTTATTCAAATGCACATTTGAATGGTTTATAGCTTATTTACGATATCCGATAATTTTACAATCCGTCGCAAAATAAAAACCGGATATCAGGCTCCCTCCTCTACAGGCTCCCACTTTTTTATACCGGCAATCGGAAGTACAATTAATACAAACTGTCTGTTGCAAAACAAATGCTAAACGACATCTGTACTCGCACATTGCATATAGCCTTGGCAGCAGAGCTCCACAACACTATTTCGTATTCATTAGAATAGCACGCATCGGCACATTTTGGCTATGTACTTATGTTTGACATTTAAATATTAAATGTCAATTGTCGAATGTCAAATATCAACACAGCGGCCATCGCCAACTTTGCACGTCGGTACAAACTCTGCACAGCCCATACACAATTTCTCAACACACAATAGCCAAAGTGGAACATCCCAGCACGCATCTTTAATGACTATGAATATAAGATGTTCGAATACGTGCCAACTCACAGGAATTTCAGCATCGTCGGAACCATATGCATCCACTGGCGCGGTCCTCTACTGCTCACACAGGCTTATCTGATCATATCGAGTGTCCTAATGGCTCTCGTTTTCATCAAGCACCTGCCACCGTTCACGACTTGGGCCGTGCTGATATTTGTGGCGCTGTATGACATCGTTGCTGTATTGTGTCCGGGTGGTCCACTTAAAGTATGTTACATAATCCCTTATCATATGATATATCTTTACGATAGTCTATAGTGTGCAGATGACTATAATTTGGGCCTGTTGATATGTGTGGCTCTGTCGGACATCGTTGCTGTATTGTATTCGGGTAGTCCATTCAAGGTGAATTACTTATCCTTATTGTCATATAGTACGTCTTAGTATAGTCTCGAGTGTACTGAGGACTCCCGTCTTCATCGAGCACCTGCTACCGTTCCCAACTTTGACTGTGGTTCACTAGAGGCAGGTTACGAAAGTGTTTGATATGAATTAGTACGTTTTTACAATTCTTTTGAGTTCTTTAAGCACTCCCACCGTTCACGGCTTGAGCGTGCTGATGGGTTGGTTCTGTGTTGTAGTCGGAGTTTCTATATGTATATACATGTTTTCATCCGATAGTCTCGAATGGGTTAATGGCGTTCGAGTGTTCTGGTGGCTTTTGAAGTCGTTAAGCATGATTCGAGCCTAAGTTATATATTCGTACCAACGTGTGTACCTAGAGGCGTGCGAGGTCTGCGCGGCTGCAACTATTATTAATATGCGGACGCTCTGTTGAGTCCCTATTTGTGTCCACGCGTACTAGTCGTCCATCTGACATAGTTGTAAATACGAAGTGGTTCAGGACGTGTCAAGCCGTTGCATTTAGCTCCTGTGGATTCTTCGACGTTGGCATATGTCGTCGCCATTTCACACTACATGATGGTAGCACCTAAGCCCACCCTCACAAACGAATGCCAAGTTTAATCACGCACAGATGGTGCGGTCTACTACTATAACGTCTATAGTCTCCACAAAATCCCCAAAACCCGAAATCTAAAATCCTAAACGCTACAAACCACACACAGATGCTGGTGGAAACTGCACAGGAACGAGACGAGCCTTTGCTTCCTTCTCTCATATACTCTACGACAATGGCGTACATAGTGTCCGCTACCTTACCCAGCCAACCGAATGTTGATGATGATGCGGATGACATATACGGAAAGGATTTCGAAAGTTCTGGTACGAGATATATCAATGGAGTTGCTATTGCGTATCGTTATAATTTACATACTTCTCTGGTGATAATTGGGTATCTCCTTATGCCAACGATCGTACGTTTATGGGGATTTATCACCTATTTAGTCTGGTAGAATATAGTGTTTTCGGCTTTCCTAATGATTTTTTATGGTAAAGCAAAACCCCTTCCAACCCAATGTTTGAAAATCGATATTGGTCAGCAAATATTGAAGCTCCCGACTTCTCACTTGAGAATTGTACCATGTAGACGTTGGAAACCTCGTAGAGTCGGGAGTGAAGTCCGGAAAGTGCTTGATACATCAGCTGTAGTTTTTACTTTTGGGGAATTTAAATTTTTTTTTGTTAAACTTGTTTCGTACAACTAATATCAAAACTGACGGTATTTTGAGATTCAAAATTAGATATATGAACACCAATTCTTGCCGTTGTATTCGTCCATTGTCACCATTGGCCTGACTTATTTGCGTACGATGACTCAATAGATGCAATCGGCCATCACGGGGAAGATGCGAATAGCGACACCGCCCGTCTCCTCCCCACCAATGACGAAAGCGCAAGCACAGAGATTTCAGATCTAGCGGCTGCAAATAGCGCTTCTGAGCCAGCCCCAACTGCTACAAGTCCTGGTACGTTCTATGTGTTTGACTGGGTGTGACTTGCATACGCATGTATATTATCTCCTCTATGACCACAGCAATGAAATAAGACCTGTCATCAACGAACAACAGAGCAAATCCCTGGTGCCCGTTGTTACTCGTCATTGCACCTCTATGGCATGTGTGCATAGATGTAATCATATCATGCAAATGTATTTATCACCGTGGATTACGCATATCTCACACAACTATACGCACGCGTTGCATTTTTCACATACGGATACAAGTGGAAGCCACATAAAACACTAGAGCTAGGCGGAACAGGCATGCACTCACAATACAAGACAACAGAGCTTATGCAGCACGCCAACATACATGTATGTAGTAGGTCGCATATATGAATACAAAAGAGACGAGAGCGAGGCACCGGAAACGTAGACCTAGACGTATACCTGTATACAAATAGGCCATTTATCATAGATTCAGTTTATGGACTATAGGGCATGCTTGACCAGCACATCATCTCCTATCCGCTTTTAGTGCCGCGATACACGTGCAGACTTAAGAGTGCGACCATATATGCACATAAAAACCATAGTACACGCTCAACCAACAATAATTGTTAGGCGTATATTTAGTGGAATTAACGAACATACGTATGGAGCACACCTACGTCATCTCGTATGCAATGTTTTGTCAAATATAGATGCAGTGGACGCCACAAACGTATAGATAGTGATACATCACGTCACCTCATGTATGTTGTATTTATCACGTACACATGCAGTAGTGCATTCCACATATTAATGTATAGAGCACCCAGAAATAGATTCATCCATCACGTCACCTCATATACAATGTATTCGTCACGTGTAGATATAACAGAAGCCATAGGGAATCAACTCACATGCGTTGAATCTGTTACGTGTAGATGCAGTGAACACCACAGACGAAGCACGAGCTAGGCGGCGGAGGCGACGACGCAGGCGGCGCGAGCTGGAAGAAGCCAGGCAGAACATGCAGCAGGAGCAGGATGAGGGCGTCAAGCTGGGTTTAGGGGACTTCATATTTTATAGGTCTGTGCGGTGATGGGATCTTTTGATATGAAATATAGCGCAAAGCTGCGCGTAGGTGACTCAATATTCATTAGTGTTGTTGTGTGGTGGAGAGTGAGTGTTACGGGATACATTTGTGAGTGGTGGTGTGGCAGCTGTATGGGGAGGCTTGTAGCCAGTATAAAGCAGTCGCATGTTTATTTTTGTCACGTAGGGATGGGCGACTTCGGAGTGTGTGGTCGCCGGTACATAATTTGCGACATAGTTTATAGTATGGACAACAAGGCGGAGTCATCTGAAGAAATGGCTGTTTATATATTCATCTGGTTGTGATACAATTTATGACTGTGTTGCCTGTACGTGTATTTATGGTCTATCTACACCAGCGAGTCGCGTTCTGCTCCATTGCGAACGAGACGATACAGTCAGTCATGACCAACGCAGATCTGTACCTTGATATGTACACTGTATGGTCTGCCACCGTGTAGCACCGCAGTGTTTCCTTGCTATGCGATTATGGCTTGATAGATAGGTATAAGTTCTTCTGTATCACTTTTGTATTCTAATTCACGTTTTGCGTATTTTGTTCCAAGTAGTGCATTATTTTGGCGCCCATTTCCCCCCACTACATCCACCATGGAACGTCTTCTCGGAAATGCACCTCTTAGTATTTTATCTGTCCTTGAGTTACGTTCCTGCATAGTTCAACACATGTAATGATTGACGTTTGTCCCATCTTTACCCACCACGTCCACCTTGTAGCGTTTTGATCGGAAAGGCAGCAGAGGGGCCGAGCCTAACAGTTACCGTGGCTTGCTTCTATGCCATTCTGGCGGTGAGTTCATAACCTGCTGCATTGCCGTACTAGTATTTTTGATTTTAATGTCTACTAACCCGTGAGAAACCATATCGCGTTTTCTTCAAAAAAGCCATTGTTGGCGATATTCTACGATATCCAGTCTGCGCTCTATGATGAATCTGAAAATGTGATCTCAATACTCAGATACACCATCGGTATCACTACCCTGTATTCGTGCAATGCAAGTGTATGATATAATCCTGAGATCATATCCGTGTGTTCGACAATCAAGTTCACCCAGTAGTTTCGCGATGTGTATGTATGTGAAGGTGCACATGTGACAGCCCGCGAGTGATTAGCAGGTCAAAGCCCAAAGTGGTAGCTTAGTAGAACTAGCAGTACTTACTGTACTCTTATCGTGAGTTTTCATTTATTAGGGTTACTTTTCTATTACACCTGTTATATTTATAATAGCTTCACATTTCAGGATGCATGCTGTAATGCAAGTGATTAGCAGGCTCGCGAAAGGCTTTATGACGATGGCCTTTTTGTAACCAACTCGAGAGAAGGATGGCACGTGTCTGCAGAGGCTCTGCATATACACATCGAAAATTTGCGCCTAGGTGCTGCTAGAAGCTAATTTGCCGCGTCGAAATGCGGGTTGGCACCTATATCTTGGTGTTATCTACTTACTGTTTGATTGTTAAATTAATGTCTGCGCTGACTTCAGCCATGTTTATCCCCTTTATATGATTATAAAATCAGCTTCACACCTTGAAAATATCTTCAACTACACTTTGTTCTCCTGACGAGCCTTTGCCTGTTATTATCCAGAGCCTTTGCCTGTTATCATCCAGAGCCTTTGCCTGTTATCACTCTATTATGTCAAACAGGACTTTGATCCATACTCTGAATGTAAACACACAATCTAGCATGTCAGTCAATTTGAACACACTCTCACTTACGTTGCCAGGGTCTCTGCTAAACATTGCCTTCCCCGCTGAATGTTGGTTGCACGCCATATTGGGATATAGAATGCTCATCTGATTGTAGCAATTATCTATAATACATATATCCTGGTATACACCCAAACCAGCATATATCTCACATTTCACGCACTCTCACTCGTACATACCCAGGGTCTCTGCATAACATTGTTTATTCTGCTGATTGTTGGGAAGGCTCTGCCGGCGTTGCCTATCTCCATTGGTCTCGGATTGTTCTTCTACTGCACGACGGATCTGATGATTGTTCCTATGTTGGATGCACTGGGCCAGTCAGGACTCAGAACATAAACACTTGGCGAACATAGTGTATTTGAATCACTGTAGTTCAGAAACCGAAACAAAAGTGGTATATGGTAACAATCTGTTCGTATGACAGGTCTGGAGACTGGATGTGAATGTGAAAAAGACTATTATAGAAGATTAGAGAATAAAAAATGGAGTACAACCTGAACAACAGGAGACAGGAGCGAGCTAGCCCATGTAAAGTGGTGATAGAACCCGATCAGGCAAGCTACTCAATCATCGTTCAGGAATGTATCTGATATCGAGTATCAGAAAATTGAGATTGATCGTAACGGGAACATAATTTTTATTTCAAGGTAGTCACCACTTTCCATAATCAATTTGCATAGCGAATGGGTTATAAACGAACCAGGGAAGTTTTTAAGCGAAAACCAGGACGACATACATATAATACATGTAAGGAGTGCATCTTTGTTTAAGACTTGGATTTAAAAAGTATTTAGGAAAATGCCGAAAACAGTCAGCTTTTGAGATTTTAAAAAGTTCTGTACTCACACGTCACGCTCATCACGACGACCGGGCTCTCGAGAATCAAAAGCACACACCCTATGTAATAAATTGCCACGGCAAAACGATAGCCGAGGAGTGGCAAATCGTATTTATATACGACATTCTCGCGCACGCAACTAAGTCACTACGGTGCTCACCAGCCTTATCAGATCAGTGCTATATGCGAAACGAATCGGTTGGGCTTACACATGCACAACGACGGATACAGAACCCAGAAGCTCGCTTGAATGCACCAAAAATTCGCTTTAGTTTTATTATACAATCAGAGAAATTTCTAATGATCCGAACTGCCGGGATCGAATAGATAGCATGGCACAGTCTTCCTTCACCTATTATATCGTGGACATGTTGGGCGTAGGGTCTTCTCCATCTCATCCTGGGCGTGTCGAGTATCAGGGTTCCGAAATGAGTGTACTGCTTAACTTAGATAGACAGACACCCAACTATAGGGCACTCCCCAGACCCAGATTTAGCGTTCTCATTCCAGAAAATCAAGTGCAATTGCCTAGTTGTTTCGCACAGGGATGTACACCATACAACCAGATCGTATGGTTCAATGGCGTATATTCCATTTACAACTTCAGCAAATATTCTTCGACTATAAAACTTAAAAGTCTAAATATTGGTCTTGAACACGGCGAAGGTATTTCACTCTCAAAAGTTCGTCTATAGATCAAGGGTGCATGTAGAGCTTCAAAGGGATCTCTGCGCGCGTAAATCCTCTAAGTAGATGAATATATGGCTTACATTCAAGATAGTGCGCTTCATTGGTAGTCCACGAAATAACGAACTGAATCTGTAGTTAATAGTGTATGGAAACTACTCCAGACAAACACGACGGTAGTATCACAACTCAAGTGATGATTTGCAGGTTCATATTTCCAATTGTCAATCTATATTGCGCAATTAATACCCCGCTTGAGCGTGACATCGAATATATATATTTAAAAAATGGCACATCCGCGTAGACTGTACCACACATACTATTATTTCGCACACACTCGCCGGCAAAGGCCCCATGCGACAGGCGTCTAGATTGGTCTGTATGTGGTGCGCAGACGAGCCTCCAATGATGATCGCATCGCCGAGTTCACTGTAGTAGGGATGCCAAATGTACTGAACGATAGCATTGCAACCAACTCGTCAGGCTTTAAGCAAGCCCAGATAACCGCACATACTATACAACAATCCACACAAAATTTCTACTTCGCATTGTTTTTCCGGATTTAAAAACAATGGACTGTGTTTTGGTCCGCAGCCCCATATTAACACCAATCCCGGAATATATTGGCACGAATTGATGCATTAAATATAATACGGTAACTAGTACACGCTCAGCGCTCGGACAGACTCCGCCATACGGACACTACACCAGCGCATGGTCCAATCTGCGAAATCCGACAGCTGAGGCTTCGAGCTGACAGTATCGTCGAACTTCCTAGACATTAAATATCCTTGTTAATTACTCAAACAACAAGAGAAACTAGAGCTCCAAATTGGTATGTTGGCTTCTATCGAATTGCGAACAAGCAGTATCCACAAAAATGGTGTGCGCGACAGCTACACGAACAAACAATATTCACAGTAAGGTAGAGACACGATAAAGCATGTTGATGCGTATCCCCGGCGAGAAATACCGTTTGAGCTGAGAGTGATGTACGACCTGCAATTGAAAATCAGTCATAATGGCTGTGTTAGTGATTAATTCACACGGCAGTACGACAGCAAAACAGGCCATGACAAGTAAGCCTGAATGGCAGCGCCAGTGCTTAGCTACACCGTCAAAATAGCAGCGTACCATGCCACGACATTTAGGCCTGAAACAACTTCCTAGCGTGTAATACAATCGACAATATTACGGTATACTATGTAATGATAAGTAAGTATCGAGGTGGACAGCATAAGAGAACAGACTCACCCATCGGATAGCGGCATCAGCTTGCGTGACATTGGCCTTCTCACACTCAGCCCTGTACCGGTCCAGTTGCTTGAAAAATTCGGGGTACCAGAAGCGCTGCCTGTAAATTCTACCCCACGGCTGAGTACAGGAATAGAATTGAAAAACATTTTTTTCAATCGATGAATGCATTCACACAATTAAACATACATAAATGATAGCACAGAAGCATGTACGGATACAGATAAATCTACAGACATACATAGTCAAATACACGTAGGCATCAAGATCACATCCTGCCTGAATATGGGAGTTGTGTTCGCGATGAAAATAGAACAAGCAACCAATGAGTTTGCGGGCGGAAAAGTTGGTTTAGCGTAGTCCACAGGAAATTGCCATACTGAGCAATGATTGAAATTTACAGATTGACACACTAAAACTCTTGAAATACAAAGCAATAAATTCTGTACTGCAAGCAACTCTGACCATCATAGTTGTCGCCCGATCTTTGCGCGTACAGAAAGTATGGATGAATCATTTTCAGACCGTTCCACGATAAGCTAAAAAAATAATTTTAATTTGTTTATATACCACCCTTTCTAAAACAACATCCATGTATACAGCCGCAAGTCCCTACACGCTAACCATACCGTATCCTTATCGAAGCGACCACCGGGGACATTATCGTCAATGTTATAACGTCCAGTGAGTACTCCTCCGGCGAGAGGATTGTACGCGTAGAAGCTCATGCCCAAGTGGCGTAAAGCAGGAATAAGCTCTGGCTCTATCATCCGCGTTACACAATTGTACATTCCCTGTGGGTGCACGAATTCACGCACTGTGTCAGTTTATATTCAGATATGTATCTGCCAGTTCCTATCTTAACGTTTGTAGCATATACCTATACAAACGTTGCTCTTAATATGCACGTTATACTACTACACAACCTCTGTGGACATACAAGTCCACCCTCCGAGTCGGTATATATATATAAGTATGCATCTGTCTGTCCGATATCGCTATTACCTGTTCATGTTCGCGAACCAAAACAATTAGACATTGGGGTTATCATCCGCGTTACTTGATTATATATCTGCTGTGGGTACACCGATCAGGATATGGGTCCGTACATGGTTATGGATGTATGTTCTGGTGCACAGCTGCCACTTCTATAAAATCATAAATATCAAGTAAACTACGCGTATACTTGTTTACACGACTACACATATGGTATGACTTGTACGTTTATATTATATGATGCGAACACTCACCTGGTATACAGAGGGCAGTATGAAGCCGTGAGCCTTACACAAGTAATATATTTCGACCACCTCCCAAGCGGCAAAGTTACTTAATCCAAATCTCGTGAACAAGCCAGCCTGCATAGCAATGTCTTAAATGTTCAGTTCAGAGCAAACCACCTGCAGAGGTGCGTATCAAGTTGTGAGACTTTTTCTACTGTCGCAAAATGTGCTAGCGCGAGAGCTACGTAGTGGTGTAAAATTAATAAAATAAGTAGATTTTTCGAAATAGAACTAGAAAAAAGTTTTGGCACAACCATATAGGTAAGCATACTTTTACGCACGTTCGCCCCAAAATACAATACAAAAGTGTAGAATCAAGCGGACATGTAGGCACACTCATGGCTCAGGCTTGAGTTGCATGCATTTGTCCAGTTGAACTTTGAAGAGAATTTGAACGATGCATAATTCCAGGACAAGTGCATCACATGTGAACATCTAACGTACACGCGCGGTGATGCAGTGGTATTTACCTGGTGGCAATCGTCCACACCCTTCAACGTGTCAAGAATAGGTACACAATGGTCTGGCTGGTGCAGATAGAAGATGTCGCACTGCTGCGCTTGCAGACTAGAAAGCGACGTCGTCAGCTGCGCCTTCACAACCTCCCGCGAGAGTCCACCTGTGGCAATGTATTTATCGATGCATGACGAATGAATAGCACACACTACTAATAGGATGATCGCAATTGGGATTGGCAATGCCATCGTATAGCAGGCAATGGTTTCCGGTGGTTTCGAAAGGCACAAACTTGGAGCCAATGTCTAGAGAGAGAGGAGAGAGATGTGAAAATACATACACAACAGGAATACTGAATACATGGAAACAGATGAAGAAGTTGTGAGTATATATACACTGGAAATGCATAACAGAGCTGTTAACAAGTATGTGACCCCGCAGAACAAAGATGCTCTGTAGCACAGCAGGTTGGTGAGAAGTCTACTCTCGAAAGCGTCAAATCTTCACCGTCAGCTATCACCATATCGCTAGCAACATACGGTGCGAATGTACGAACTTATTGTCATAAAAAATACAACGTAAGCCTTTGAGACAGTCGCATAGGTACACTACGTCCTAAAGACCCGTGCCCTACGTACGTGACGATATAGGAGCTGCGCGGCAAATGCTTGCTAATATAGCCATCCAAAGCGACAGAACTTTCAAGACCGTACACACCAATACGCTCTAAAATGATAAAGTACGATTTAGCTAAAAAGTACGGCTGTGGGTATGAAACTTCTAACAGTGTGTGTGTGTTTGATATTAAAGAACATAATATATACCTCTGTACAAATATACATCGATACGATATTGATATCGACTAGCATTTGCTTGGCATGTTGATCCGAGTTCGCTATAGGCTGTGTGTCTATATAGGTATAGGCGGATATATGTAAGTATTCTATACGCACATCTCACATCTTATATCCACACCCACACAAATACACACACACACACATATATATATACGTATATATATGGAAGTTTTAGTAGAGCACATCACTCAGATAAGTAGTAGCCAAATCTCTGTTCGCGTGTCTGCACTTGTTTCCCAGGAAGCAATGAGATAAGAATTTGGTGTTTTTTCATTTAAAATTGGGTTTCGTTTGAATGAATACAACTGCAGCTCACACATATATATGTTCAATCCAACTTCACGTACCCTCACTGGGATTTGCCTTGCAAGCCATCTCAAGCCCGTCAAAGCCAGCCTTGCCCAGAATTTTCTCTACTTCTCCTGATCCATATATTAGGGCTGTATCGGCCTCATCGTAATCTAGTGCAAGGCAGAATAAACTATTGGAAATGAGTAAGGCCGAATTCATACTATATAAGAAACCACAGAATGTGTGCGAGTAGTAAGAGGTCAGTACTTTATCGTTTCAGCGGGCAATATTCGTGCAGCTTTCAGTGAATGATGTCGTAGAGCAATGTGCAAGTTAGCGGTTATCGTATATACTACGAAAATATACGTGTGACGACCATATAACATCGCCATGTATAAGACTTGGTTCGCGAAAGAGAGTACTAGTATCCAGTTTGTAAACACATGATAACAACATATGCAGTACGAATGTACATAATATATCGTAGCCGAATTGCTCATAGTATATCATAGCCTCTATCTTTCCGTAAAAAAAGGTAAAAAGTCCAACTAGAGAGCGTGTTCTAGATAATCTTTCACTGACACATCCACATAATCACTTCAATCGACCTTTAAAACACCATTCACATCTTTGCAACTGACGCTGAATTTGTCCAAGATCACTATCATAACCTCCATAATGATATAGATTACTTCTCCCTGAGAACGATTCACCTTTTAAAAGTGGACCCTTAAGGTCTAATGACCATACATACCTTCGCCACTGGCTTTGAAGTTGTTTAAGATCTCTTTAGTTTCCTCCAAGCTGACCTTAGAGGGAAAGGTCATAGTGCCTAGCACGACTTTCAACGACATGGCTGGTGCTGAGGAATGGAAAGTGTGAGCCCTGATGAAGTTTGGAGTGTTACGCAACCTTTGAACACTTGTTCTATTAAATGCCTTCAACAGTGAGCTATACATACTGCGCTATTGTATATCAACTAAATGGAGTGCTAACGACAATCAGGATACAAAATAGGATAATGCACACAGACTCTATAGTAGAAGGGTATTGGAAGTATGGCTCGTCGCTTTTTAGAATTTTAGGCCAAACCGAGCTATATTTATTTTTACTATATATGTGTCATCAATTTTATTTAAATACAATAAGAAGGCATCACAGCAGTCTTAAACAGTGTCACTTGAGAGAGTTCAGAGTAGAGAGAGAGTTAGATAGAGAGATAGAGAGAGAGAGAGCGAGAGTGAGATAGATAGAGAGATAGAGAGAGAGAAAGCGAGAGAGAGGGGCCAGAGGGCTCACCGGCTCAGGCCCTCAGGGAGCCAGAGACTGGAGTCTGATGAGAGAGGTCAGACACTGACAGACAGAGAGTCTCTCACATCTCTCTCTCTGAGAGAGTTCAGAGTCCAGACTGTCGTTAGCCATAAGGACCATAGTGTTCGAAAGAATCCTACAAATTATAACCCTAAAACCCAAGGGCGGATACTTCAGTTTTGGCGGTCGCATTGTCGCACGTGAATCTGTGGTCTTAATATTTTTAGGGGAGGCGTCGCCACTATGGAATCTGGTCTGAAATTGTCGCAAATTCATGGCTCGTCAGGGTGATCTATTACCACTTGTTGAATGGATCTATGTTGTTTTATACTTCATGTAAATACACAGATATTTATTTATATAAATGTATGCAAGATATAGCTTATACAATGAATCTGCTGACAATAGTATAAGCTATTCGGTCTATGTAATCGGGAACTTCCGAAGTGTGGGATACAATAGCATTTGACAATCGGAATACTACACACTAGAAAGGTCCAGTAGATGACCACATTTTCGGCGTATCTCGTCTATGATCGACGCCTAGTTACACTTTTCATGATGAGTTTCGCTTTAAGTTCACGGAGACCCGCACTCCAAGCCCTGCAATCTAACACACCCACCCACACACACACATACACTGATATGTTCACACGGGGTAGATTATACACAAACAAAAGTATGTCCACATCAGCAAGTGGAGTTCAAAAGTTCATGACTATGCGAATGTATTCTGAGCAATCACGTACAAGTGTGTGTACTCGACCGATTATGAGGTGTATGCACAACGATGCACATAAAAAGGATACAGAAGGGATGGAACAATTACCACAGACAGATATAATGGAGGAGGACAAAAAAAGACAGAGTATATCCCCGAAAACGAAATTCAGCGATCTGAAAGTGGCATCCAATATCTACACCAAACTACGTAAGCGCTTGGTTTATAATGTTTGACTTTAAATGTCTGCATTCTTATCCTAAGTAGATAGATGCTATACTTTGCTGGATTGGATTTGTGAACCTGCCAATGCTTCGACAATATTCAGTTTTGTGCGCCGAAAATGGTTGCATACTCCCACATCGACATACATATGAGACCATGTATATATAGAGATATACATGGAATGTATATAGATCAACAGGCATATCATATGTATACCTAGTTTACACACACACACACACACACACAC